ATTTAATGTTATCAAAATATATATATATATATATATATATATATATATATATATTCAATAATATGTTTTTTTTATCAAGGTACATAAATATTTTGCATAGAATAGTTTTTGTTTAACTTAATTATTTTATTATATTTTATAAAATTATACTTTTACTTTGAGTAATATAAGAGGTTGTGTTATCTTTAGAAATCTCATTATAAAATATACATTTTATGTTTTATATATTTTGATATATTAATTTTATTCTAATTTTCTTGGTCAACTTATGAATAATTACAAATATTAAAATATTAAAATATAATTATTATTTATGTTTTTAGACATAATCAATTTTAAACAATTAAAAATGTTTTAAAAGTCATAATATTATACAAAATATAAATAATTTTGGAATGCTCTGATTAATATCAGTTTTAATATATACACTAATTACACAATTATATTATTTTGTATTTTTACTTATTATTCTTTATTTAAAAATGTTTTTATAATATATAATATTTTGAGCTTATTATATTCTTTTATTTAATTAACATGCTGTATATTAAAAAAAAAAAATTAAGGCAGTGTGTATATTAGCACAAAATTGCATGTTTAAATAAGCTCAATAAGATTTCATATAATATTTATATCATATATTTACAATATATATATATTTAAATTTTATCTTAATTTTATAAAATGCTGTTTTGTAAAATTGTTTTACATTAAATGAAAAATGTATTTTCGTTATTTTGTTATTGATGTATACTATTTTATTGTTATATTAAATATAATAAATTCGAAATTATATTAACAAATGATAAAACTTAAAATTATTCTTATATTAACTCATATGTACATATAGGTACATGTGATATTTTCATTATAAAAAACAAAAGTATACATCATTAAATTTTTGTTGAATGAATTTACTAAGATTTGTAAATATTATCTAAGTGCTTCCACATGTAATAACATGTGACAATTACAAATCTCAGCACTTTTATTATGTACACTATCTTCTAAGCCATATAGTTTTACTATTTATAATACTGTTTACTCTCTATTTCTATTAATTCACATATATAAAACTAATATTTCTATACATTTTCTATTTATGCTCTGAATTGATTATCAAAATCGCATATTTATAAACAAATCTTTATAACAAAAAACCTTAAATTACCTCAAATATTGCACCCCATATTGACCACAAAATTTATTCTAAAATCTAGAATCCAAATTCCTAGAAGGACAATCTTCTACATGAAGCAATTCAGACAATAAATTATAAAATTCAGTAAAACAATGAATGAAAGATCATTGAATTTAAAGCTAATAGAGCATAGAAAGGATATTTTTATATTGATTCACTTATAAACATGTTTCATCTAAAATTGCTTAATGCATATCATTAAGTAGATTAGACTTTCTTCATTAAGATATACAATTATTATAAAAAAATTATTATGAAAAAATATTTAAATGATGATACATCTGTTTTTATATAAAAATGAAAGAGAAAATTATATAACAAAGTAGCAATCATATTTACGCTAATGTTAATATAAATTTCATGTTATGTTAAAATGTTTGGGCATGCAAAGTATAAATATAAATATAAATCATTGTAATATACTTACAAAGTTCATGGTTATAAAATATGTCTTGAAACATAGATTTATGGAATTGTTTTAATTGTTCAATTTATTGTAGAAATAATGTTAAATAAATGAATAAGGACAAAAATCTGATTTTATGTTTAATATCCAACTACATTATAATAATAATTTGTATATCTTTTTATATCGAAAAACTAGAACGTTTTCCACACATTATTTGTTTATATCACATTTTATTCTAGTAGATGATCATAAAGAAAATTTGCAAAAAAATATTTTCTTAAAAATAGAAGTTATTTCTTTTGTTAATATTGGTACATAGTATGAAACGCAGATATAATACAAATTATGTTTGAGTCAATAATTATTACATAACATACACTTTTTCTATTTTTTTATATGGAAACACTTCTTTGGTTTTTGGACAAATTACAGTACCATTATTTTCTTGAGCCATTTTTTCCAATGCCTAAAATAAAATATGAATTAATTTAGTAAATTAATAATTATATATTATAAAATACAAATTTATTTACTTGTTCTCCATATACATATCCATTTGGCATCATCATTGGTTGATTATATTCATTTAATGGTTTTCCACTAATACTGCAAACAAGTCTTGACTGTGAACAATGAGCAAAAGGCAATGGAACTGCTAGCTCATTGAGAGCTTCATTGCACACTGGACAATTTGGATTTCTACCTTCTTTATTTGCACTATAACATTGAGGTGTTTTTAATGCTGATAGACCTGCTTGTAATGCTACTGTAAAAACACTTTGACTTGCTAATTGAAAAAGTCTATAATTTTCATGTCTGAACTGTTCAATTAATCTATCCCATCTGTAAATATTATATATTAATATAATAATATAACAATAATAAACATAAAAGTTTAAATTTAAACAATAAATAATTTAATAAGAATTAAAAAATAATTAAAAACTTTTACCTTTTTTCATCTAATAGATCTTTATATGGACTAAGAGATGTATTAGCTGGAAATGCTAATTGTCCCATACAACATTGAATTTCTTGCAACTGGTAATCATCATAATTTGTAAAACATTTTCTAGCATGTTTGACAGCATCAAGCCTTCTATCTTGTCTTACTAATTCTATGAACTCTTGTACACGTAAATTAAATTCCATAGTACTTCCTAATTTTCTTAACTTAGATCGATTGTCATAGCACCATCCAACACACCTTGCAGTTTCATGATTTGCTAAAGATGCTTCAACTTCTCTTGATACCATAAAAACATCTAAAAATATGAAATAAAATAAATAATATCATTTATATTTTGATAATCAGATAAATAATATTAATAATTAACATACCTATATTTGTTAAATCTCTAAGCTCACTACTATCTGCTAATTTAGTTGCAGTTGTATAATAACCTTTACGAAGGAAATATTCTATTAACATTCTATCAAGTCTTTGTCGCCGCCACTGATTCACAACACTTGGTGCAGTATTAGCATGTTCTTTTAAATGTTCTAGTCGTCTTTTGCAAACCATTCCTGCTTGTAACTCTTCTGCAATAGATTCTTGTGCTTTTCTCTTTAAAGTTTGAAGTTTTTCTACAACTCCTCCTAACAATATGCTCATTTCCCCAGCAGGAACAGATGTTTTATTATCTTTCATTAATTCATTAGCTGCTGTTTGTACATATGAAGCTTCTCTATCTATAACTTTTTGAGCTAAACGAAATTTTTTATTAAGTAATTCATAAGGAACCTAAAAAATAGAATATTATATTGTTATATTATTTCTCAATTTAAATATATATAATAATAAAATTTTTATGTATTTAAAAATGATAGAAATTAAAGTAGAAATTAGATATAAAATTAACTTTGAATAATATAAATAATTTATAAAGATTTGTCAATGTTTCATTAAGAATTTACAAAAAATTAAATTAAAATAAATATCAAAATATCAAATACCTTCAATGTTGGATATTCGAGACTTTTAACGTCTGACATATTGGTTATGCTCAAACTACGCGTAAAGTTGTAGTTAAAAATCCGAGGAAACTTATGTTTATTGTGTCACAACTAAAATATTTTACTATTATGTATCATAATTGTGTATCTCTTTTATACAAATCACAAAACTAAAAAACAAATATACAATAATGAACACAACAACTTTGACACAAAACTGTCTTCAAGAATCGTGGAATCTCTTGCAGTATTTTAACAAAGATAATTATCATTTTGTTTATGCATGATAAAAACGTTAGTAATATAACATTACAGTAGATGGCTCTATCAACGATAGAAAATAAGGGATGATCTTCAGATTAAATCATATGATATATTCATTATCAATTAAAAAATATATTTTTATTTATACAAAAATAATATTTATTTTACAATTATTTATAGCAGTAAAAAGAATTAAGACATATATAATATTAGAACAATCACGTATTTGTCTTTATATCAATAATTTTATTTAACATATGTCTTATATCTTATTTATGTCAATGATTTTTGACATTCTTGATTGGTCATTGGAGTAAATTAATTTTTGATTTTGACCAATCACAAAATTTGAACATATAAGCTAAGTATAACACAATTGAATAGAAAATGCTTATAACGTACGCGTGGTTAAATATTTTCGAAATGTGATATTTTCAAAATGTGACTCTTCCTTTACAAATTTAACATAATATTATATAAAAAGTAAGTCAGTTTTTTCATTATAATCTATATATATATCTATAATTTTTCATTATAATCTTTAAGATTATAAGATTTCACGTAAATAATACTCAATTTTAAACAATCACGTGTGCATTTCTTGTAAAAAAAAGTTTATTTTAAAATATCTATAATATTTATACATTATTTTAATATTTTATAATTTTGAAAGAAAATTATAACATTAAATAAAATAAAACAAAATAATAACATTTGTATATAATCTTTCCATTATAAAAATATATAAATTCGTTACATTAAATTGAAATGCTTAAATGATATTAAGCATGATGAAGCAGTTAATAGTCCTATCAGAAAACTAAATTTATGTATAAATATAAAATTAATATAATCTAATTTATTATTAAATGCAACAATTAAAAAAATCTTGGAAAAAATAATTTTAATAAAATATATTTCAAAATTATTGTAAAAAATTTGGCCGATATTTAACCGTTCGACTATGCTGAATCGAAAAGGATCGGTTATTTTCGGATATACTCGGCCAGTGACGGAAAGTATCGGTGGCGCGCGCGAGTCACTCGGATGGCCGGGGGCCGCCATTTTCCTCCAGCGAGGGAGACAGTCGCGAACGTAGTTCCGCGCATTGTCGACCAATTTTTTCATCGAATCGAGGGATTTTTGCGAACAACTGGGGCGTCGGACGGGCGCGCGTGACCCCAGACCCCATATCCGAGTGAATATCGTTCCACGGGAGACTTGAAGTCACCCGTGGACACCGTGAGAGTCGTGTGAATCGAAATACAGAATCAAGGCGCCGCGCGTATACCCCCGATCAAGATACAACGTAAGAACGCCGTGTGAGAGAGTGATTAGTTTGGTGATCGCAGTGTAGCCGGTGAAAATACACGAGTACCTAGAAGTACCGTGGACCGAGGAATACAGGGAGAATCGCCTCCGACAGGTTAGTGAGTGTTTTTCTTACGTAGATCGCGCCGCCAAGAGCTCAGTATACGCCGTGTGCGTCGCTCGCGCGGCCCCTGGTGTGCACGGTGCATGCGTGCACACACGCACCGGAGAAAATTCCGCGGGTTCGTGCGTGTGTATTTGTATGCGTTCTATCTTCTGTCTGTACTTGTGCGTACAAATGCAGTGCATACGTAGTTCTTCGTTTCATGTCTATACTTGTGCAAGTGTATGACACTTAGTGTGCGAGTATGCTAACTAGTGTGATATGGCGGGAGACGCCGCGCCAGCAACGAACCACGCGCCTTTCTTTTTATTCATTCTTCTATTTGCCAATTGCTCGATTATTCTATTTTTTCATTTTTTACGTATTTTTTAAGACCAATTATAGAGATTTTAATTTCTATTTCATAAAACTATTTTATGATTAAATAGTTTTTCACTGGTGTGTGTAATCGTATCTTGACGTTGACCTTCGGTAACGCTTCAACCTCTCCAATGAAACGTTACATGCTCTTCTCATGTTTCTTTTAGTGTATTTATTTGTAAATCAATGTGTAAGATTCCTTAGTTTAATTTGCAACAAGTTCAGTATAACATGTTTATTTTAAAATAGAGTTCCAGTGGTTAA